AAAATGAATTCTCCACCCTTAGAAGCGTCGGCTTCTGACGCCAAAACTCATTCCACCTCGTCGTCTTCCGCATCATTGCCAGCGTTCTCATATCCTGGGTTTACATTGGACGCCGCGGCCTGAGCAGTGGCACTAGTGAGAGCTGCGGGGCTTCTTGTGGTATAACTACCTTCGTTCCGACCACTCGGAACGAGGGGGGTTACAGGTGAGGGAGCACGTGACGCTGGGTTACCCACGCGCGGATAAAAACCGTACGGATGGACTCGAAAAGAGGAAAGGCTCACGTGGCCGGTGACGCGCAGCCGGTCGGTGGTGTTATACCCGGACGGCCGGTCACGGGTTAGAAGCCCGAGCTAAAGGAAAACCGGGACGGTGTTAGCACTTAGCCGTAAAGGGAAGGGAGGCGAGTCTGCCTCCTCTTTACTGGGACGGGGCAGGTGCCCCCGGTCTTAACCCCTAAGTGGGACGCCAGGAAACCTGTCTCGCTACAGTAGCTGTTACTTACTGTATACCAGCTACTGTACACAATTAATAAATTTGTGCCATTAACTACTAATTACTACTTATGACCGTACGGATTACACACGTGTAGCCGGTGGAGTATTACTGTTCTCCACACCGGCCACCAGCTGTAAATACAACTCCTTACGGTTGTGCTGGCGCTTACACCCGAGATCACTGTACGCCGGGGCAGCAGCGGTGGCGCCGTCGCCTCCGCGCAATTGTACTACACTTCTACAGCCGCCCTTCCGGCGAGATTCCATCGCTTTGCCCCACTTCTCCGTGGTTCTCAGATAGTGTAGTAGAACGTGCCGCGCTCGACCGGCTTCGGGTAGCGGGAGCTGCGACACGGCGGGCAGTAGTTCCAAGCGTGGGAGACGCGACGAGTACCGTGCACACGTGTAGTAAGAACCACAAAACAAGAAGAAGGGAGTTCGGTAGCTGGTTGGTAGAGGTTTTGGTAGAGCGGTGTGGGTTCGACACAACGATGCAACGAAAGGCAGATCGACGTCCTCGACGTGGTAGCTCGACGCCGTGCGGAGGCGATGTCGTCACGGAGGACGAATCCGAGCTCTATGCGGAGCGTTCGTCGTGCGGTACCCCTGCGATAGGTACTTCTCGTTGTACTCGATGTACTGAAGGAAAGGCAGATTGTAGTCAGGCAAAAGACTTAGGCACAAAACCAAGGGACCAAGGGGTTGGCCCTCGAGATGATGCCAGTGCATTGATCGATGATCTCCTCGAGTCCTTCCCCTTCCCTACTTTATTATATCAACTACAGTAGTCCCCGTTTTTACAGTGCCAGACTGTAACGGTACGACTACACGTCGGGCAGTAACGGTCCTGCACTTGGGCGCCAGCGAGGTACGCTGGAATCATACATTAGACGGTATGATTCGAGTACAGTACGTACACAGACGCGAATTGCGCTGCCCAACTTACCGGGCGAGAAGGTGATTACCTTTCAAATTGAAAATTAATCAATGCGGTCCTTGTCATACACTATCGGGTGTTCGAGTACAGTATGTACACTAGTGGGCACTTGGCGATATACCACAGATAGAACAGCTCCTGATGAATGGGAAGGCTTTCCTAGGCTCCCGGCGGCTCGTGCTGTTGTGGAGGAAGTAGTTATACCTGTCCTTAGCCTCTGCGACCTTGTTTTAAACTGCCGTGGAAACGTTGATGATGTCCTCCGCTGTGGGCTCTCCCGTGGGCTCCAATCTCTTGATGGCGGGTACGATACCATCAAACTTGGGACCCTTCTTTCGCACCTTCTTGAATTGTGCACTCGCAGCAACAGCAGAGCGTATGTTCTCCTCCTCAAGCCAATCGCTGTGCAATTTTTTTATCCTCTGCTCGTAGTTATCATAGAAAACAGCGCTAAAAACCTCCCACTTCTGCCCGGTTCCCTTCAAGGAGTTCTCCGACGTAGGCACGTACGCTTTGCACGCAATCAAGCTCTTCTCTGCACTCCAACCGTTGCCGGTCCCCGTTGTGCGCTTTAGCAGGCTGTCGGTTCTTGCTGTCTGGTTGTTACCGTGATGCTTGATTTGTTGTGGCACGTGTTGAGTCGCTGGGAATACAGGCGGGTCTTTTCATACACCGGGATCTGTGACACCACGAGCGCATTGCGCGCACTTCTAGAACGTGCAACCACGTTTGCTAGCGCTTTAACGGCAGTTTGCGACAAGCGCGCGAAAATCTACAGTCCGGAAAACAGGCCGCAAAGGGACACAGAGCAAATGAGATATGGAAATGGAGCACATGCAGATTGCTCCAAATCGGAAGAACTTGGAGCGATTTTGAGGTGTTCCATTTCCCAATCGGGCATTGGATTTGAGTGACACCTGCCGGTGGAGGAAATCTCTGCACCAATGTGAATATTTTGAAATGGGAAGCGATTTGGAGCGCCTGGTGGAGATGCTCTAAGTTGTACGAGTAGTGTTTGCATGTGGCCGGAGCGTTTTGGAGAATCTGGAAGGGGAAGACTAAAAATTACCAAATTGCCCCTTTCAGGAAGGGTACCGTAAGTAATTTACGACGTAATCATACTGCACAACGCCGTGCCGTCAGCGTGGGCGTCACATCCCAATCATGTGTACTATCGCCAGACCCGGTTTCAAGGGGTTCCCAAACTGGGACAATTACAGTTGGAAAGTCGAATGTTATAAAGGGCTGGGCTGAGAACATGAGCATCGCAGCAGAACAACGGGCTTGATTGTCAACGCTGTAAAACTTCTCTTGCGTCTACCCTCCGGAGACGCGGGCGAGGAGGGCTGGGGTGAGGTGATTTAAATGCGATCTCGACGCCAGCGGTCACCAGTGTACACGCAGTTTACATCTGTGACCCGGGCAAATCACCGAGGCCGTATATTGACACTATTAGCTGCAATATTGTTCCAGAATGGGAAAAATCGTCATGCCTCCGAACATCTCAACACTTACCTTCTTTAAAGGTGGGGACAGAAGGCGTTTCAGCCTTCTGTGCTATGCAGTCTACTGTACAAGGTCGTTTAAGCTATGCTGTACGTTCCTGTTCCTTGTGTGGACAACTCACAATTGCACTCCTAACAAACCACGCAAGCGTTCTCCTTCGCTCCACCTTCTTTGACTCCCTCCCTGGCTTGCGTCTGCTTCCCTGCGTCTTCTTGCTTTTCGGATCCGTTTCCCACAAACTGAACTTTTCGTTCTGCATCCTTTGTTGTCGGAGGCTCCTCGTTCTCCTTCGATGACGTACTCTCGATTGACGCTTCTTTTGTTCTAATTTCTGGTGTCGGAGGCTCCTCGTTCTCCTTCGATGACGCACTCTTCATTGATGCTTCTCTTGTTCCAACTTTTCCGTCTTCTGACACTTGACCTGTCCCGGCTTTTTTTCCGCCTTGCCCGGGCACAATCTCCATGGTATTGTTCACCCCCCCAAACCCATCGTCCTGCACGCCGTAGTCCCTTGACGTCGTCCATTGGCCATCCACGACAAACTTAAAAGAAACAATGCCAACCGGCAGTTCCTTCTTCGCTTGCCATACCCCTCTCTCCCCATCACGCTTCATGGGCGTCTGGTGCTTCCACCCATCCCACGACCCGACGACCGCCACAGTAGAAATGTGAGCAGCTCCACTGTAACGAAACTCTGTGGTCACATTTCCCTTCATGGCGAATTCAGTACTGTGCAGCGATGTGCCGACCACCCTTCACAAAAGCGACAGGGTCTACGAAGTACCCTAGGGTACTGTAGTAGTTCAGAAACTGGACGCCTTCGGTCGAAGATGCGATCTTCGGATTTCTGACGTGGAAAGAAATTCTGCAATGGCGCAACCGTGCGCAAGTCTCAGGCTGAGAGTATATATTATTGCCGTCGGGCAGTCGCGCGCTACCCTTACCCAAGGGTAGACGGAGCGCTCCCAGGCCCAGTCCGGGGCTTGAAGCTTCGGTATCTACAACGGGGGGTGGATATGCGTAGTATTACAACGGAAGCGGTTTCCCATTCGCGGCGGGACGTTAAGAGGACGTCCACACAAGCTCGCCGATGTGTGGCCGGGGGTTGCGCAACGTCTCCGGGACAAGTACTGGGCGCGACGTGGGGAAAGTGTGATTTTTTTTGCGCGCAGGCGCTCGCCGCGCAAGCCACCCGCGCCCGTGCCCGAGGGTGCGGCCGTGCGCGCAGTAGGGCGCATTCGCTCGCCGCATTCAGGGCCGTTCCGAACGAAGAGTTCGCGGTGCCAGCACCTCCGGACCCTGACATTTGGCATGAATGGATTGGTTATAAAAAATATTGGAAATGCTTTCCTCCCATTCATGCCCGAGGGTGCTGCCGTGCGCGCGGCAGGGCGCATTCGCTCGCCGCATTCACTGGGCGCTCATT